CTCGCCTTTCATTGCCAGAAAACGTCAATTCGATCGATTTTTTACAGTTGTCCCTTCTGATAAGTTTGACACATCGAATATCATTCGAAACATTTTGTTGCATCCGAGTTTTGCGTATTAAAGCTCAAAATTCACGGATTTGATGTGAGGCGGCGGCGCCTGCAAAATCGCCGTGGTCCCACGCGGCGCAAAAACCCAAAACGCGCGTTGTCGTCAACGTGTTAATGGCACTCAAATGCCATGAAGATCTAAATGGGAGCAGAGTTGGTATTCCTTCCCATATAAATACTGATTGAGGACAACGCTTTGTCCTGAGTCCCCTATTCTAAGGTCTCACAGGGAATATGTTGAGTTCATGAGGGTAGCTGGAGGAACCTTCTCAAATGAAGGACTATAGGGTTCAGAGGCAACGACGACATGATTTGTAATTCTAGAGGTACATTCCATTGTCAAAAGATGTGCTTTTTGGCTCAAAAATTGAAGTATAGGATGGATGGAGACCTTCAGTAAAGCAAAAAACAGTCCGTGAACCAAAGTGTAGCGGCATTCCCAAAAACCCAATCCTATCACACCTGTATGGGGCCGTCAACTTGGGGAACGATGAAACAAGTAAATTTGAGTCGTGCGCTGCTTGGTATATGTACGGCAAGAAATCACCAGAAAACTGCTATCTGAGCAGGCTCCAGAAACAAAAGTGAAAGTGAAGGCCTCTCTTCTTGTGAACAGTGCTATGGTGAAGGGACGTTGGGTGCCGAGGAAAGGAGGGAGAATAACGATGAGCGTGGTGCAGACAACTCGCTGTACACTCCGCTGTTGAACGAATAACAGCGGCAGCCGGTTCCAGCTGACAGTAAGTGGAAGGGTCCTGGCTTTATGAGAACAGAAATATTCCACCTCGGCACATAGCTCAATCCTATTGGGTTGTCTCATAATTCCTGTCGCAATTTCGACACTTTTGTTTATTCAAGTTTTATCTCTTCTAGGAAACAACTGATCAATAGCATAACCACCATCATGGTCACTGATATGCGTGCATTTGCTAGTGGGCGTTTGGAAGCTTCCAGCCCAGAATGAAGGAAGCTGGGGGTTGAAGAATTTGGAGAAGTCGTTTTTGGGGTGGTCGCAATCTTTAACTTTCTTCTCTGGCAGATGCTTATTCAAAGCGCAGGGGAGGCGATAGTCCGATAGAGCGATGCCAATGCTATATGGTGGATGAGGTATCGTGGCCCTGGCTATCTCCCTCAGAACGTGGTGAGTTGGCATTGCAATGTGAGGTCTGGCGTACATTCGGAGAAAGGAGAATCTGAGACGTTTCTGACGATTCCCTCGCAACCCCGAAGCCAGCCTAGAGGGCTATTCCGCGCTGACTTTAGCAATGCTTGTCTTCATACATTGAAGTGGTTCCCAAACCAGGCCACCTAGCGAATCCAACAAAACGAGAGCGATATTCTCAGAAAACGGAGTTCGGGCTTTGGTTGAGCTGGTGCTTCCTGGCTGCGAGGCAGCCATCAGACGTGCCGCATGTTGTTGTCGCAGTGGACTCATGACTCATGGGACTAGGACGTTTGATCAAGATTTCACACCTCCGTCTACTTCGCACCTT